CTCTCTCTCTCTCTCTCTCTCTCTCTCTCTCTCTCTCTCTCTCTCTTCCCATTGGGTGTCCATGGCTGAGTGGGTGTGTAGAGTGGGTTTTATGACTGTGTCAGTCAGATTAGTTTCTCAGACTTACTACTGTACTTGTCAGGGGTTTGGACCAGGTTCAGACCTGCTAGGATTGCAAGGGTGGTTGGTGTGAGTAAAGTGGGGACCACTTTTCTCTCTCAGGGATGGCTATCGCTAACTGTGGGCGATGTGGTGAGTCCTTAGTCCGTATCCATCAGTCAAATGCATCCTGGGCAGACTGTGTGTCCAGATTCAACCTACTGATGAGTCGGTGAAAAAGTCCGACGACAGAGTCTGTTCGGTACAGTCATGCGTTTTTTGAGTGCATAGCGAAAATGAACATGATAACACACAGACTTGCACAAAAACAAAAAAAGAGACGAGCACACGCATGCGCGTTCGCTCGCGCAGAGAGATTAGGTTCGACCATGGGGACTCCCTTAATAATTATTAAAAAATATATATATACTGTATTAAAAAAAAACATAGCTGCATTCTTCTCTCAGCTTTTCACCTTTCACCTTTCACCTTTCACTACCTACCCACCACTACTCCTAAGCCTTGGGGACTCTCCCGGAATGACACATTACTACACTCTCTTTTTTTTTTTTTCTTCTTTTTTTCTTACACGAAAACCCCGCGCCGGGATAAAAGGCAGGCACGAAGTGCAGCAAGACATGCTGGACACGAAAGCAAGACGCAAAGAAGTGGGCGCCCGGTCTCCTTCCTGTATTTATTTATATTTAAGGAGAAAAATCAACCAAGGGTAGCGTAGCCAAAACGCGCGTGGAAAAGCACTTGGTCAAAGCGAGGAACAGGCACTCGCACCTGCGAGGCCGGCGCCGGAGATAAGGGCCTCGCCACACCACTCTCGAAATGTGAAAAAGACAAAAGTGTGGAGGGTGCATCTGGTCGTGTTCTAGCCGAAAGCTCGTTCTCATTTTGCACATTTCGAGAGTGGTGTGGCGATGCCCTAAGTAACAGTCGGAACGGAATGAGGATAATGAACTCGATTAAAGAAAGAAAGAAAGAAAAGGGGAAAAAGAAAAAACAGAAAAGAGATATATAAGTATGGCGCTCGCAAAAGGATAAGAAGACACAGACTCAGTTCTACTGAGGGCATAACCTTCTGAAATGTATCTAGCCGATATGATGGCTGAGTTGGATGGATGTATCGGACCGCAATTTCGTAACCGAAATGAGTAGATATGTCCTAGCGTTAGTATGCGCTGAGTCTGCGATTTCCTCAATTTGAAATTGGACACGAAGACACAGACCCGAAATTTTAAAATTAAAAATTAAAAAAAAAAAAAGGAAGAAGAAGAGGACACAGACTCACGTGGGCATTATGAATCCCCTTGCATACAATCATCGGGATTGCGACCGTGGATTGTCCTCGATCGACAACCGGGATCGCGACCAGTTTCCTCAAATTGCTTTAGTAGTTCAGATCCCATCTGGTCTATTCCTCTCTATTTCAAGATAGATAGATAAATAGATAGACAGAAAGATAGAGAGAGAGAACGAGAGAGAGAGAGAGAGAGAGAGAGAGAGAGAGAGAAACGGGGGGATTCTTCCATGGCTTACCTCCAATAATTTCTGAAGTTCATAATTTGCCGCCCCGCCTAGATAGATAAATAGATAGATAGGCCCACACAC